TGGTAGGATGGGGTTCCCATTGGGGGAAGGGGGGGGGGGGAGAGATTGGAGGTAGAGGGGATTGACTGGCAGAATCACCAATGACCTGCGCTCCTTGCTGGGTGTGGGATTAGCTAATTTTATAGTTGAGATTTAGCAGTGGTACAAAACTGGTGCCTGTTTTGTAAGTTTCCTATGGGTGAGCTAGGTTGACAAACAATCAACAGAGTGTCTATAGTAAAAATTTTATATACCAAGTGACAGTACTGTATTTCTGCTTTTCTATTTTTTTGAAAATTTGCCCTGTTCTGTATATTCAAGTTCATTTGGTTTTTCTGATATAAAAGAAGTGTGCCTCATATTTTCGTCCGACTGCAGAGTAGAAACATTCCAATTTATGTGGTTTTCTCAGATTATTATCGTTATCTGCTTCCACTGGTATTCCTTTTCGTTGTTTGCTTTTCCTCTTGTGAAAGAGGAGGCAATGGACTTTATGTTAGTCTTTACATATTTGAATGTTTTGGACTGCCCTTTGTGTTATCTCAGTGTTTCGAATGTTCTGTGATGTTCTACAAACTTCAAATTATAGTAGTAGTCATATTGGGCATGCTGTTCTTTTCCTTTTCTTTCTAGGTAGGTGTTTCTGAATGAAATATGTGATTTCATGCAGTGCCTTAAGTTTAAGACCGACCAAGCTCAAGATGCTAAAAAGATGGAGAAGCTCAACAACATATTCTTTACCCTGATGGCCCGTGGTCCCACTGGTAAGTTTCATTCTTCATGTACATTTAGAATGTTTGCACATTCTTTGTTCTGATTTCAAATAATGTGCCACTTTGCTTTTCTTCATTCTTTTTCCTCTTGTTTTTTAGTATTCAGACATTAATTTTGTTTGTTTAGTAAAATCTCATATAATTGATTCAAACCTGCAGCTGATATAACTGAGGTCACGGGGAAAGAGCAACCTGATATGCAGCCTTCCAAGAAAGGACGGGGAAGGAGGCAATGACGAGCCTCAATTAAGATAGTTGGGATCAAAGTTAGTTACTCTTGTTGCTCAATTATGGCACAATCCATTTGTGTTCTTTTGGATGATTGGGAGGATTTTTTGTTTGCAAGTATCAGTGGCTAATTGGGGTTCTTCTTTTCCTTCTTTTTTATTTGAAAATTTTGGAGGTTTGGATGATTTGGCCTTATAATGTGAGGCATTGGTGATGCTGGATTTCCGTTTTGACATTGTGATTCACTCTGGGAAAATTCCTCTCTTGGTGATTGGATATCTGTAGTTTACTTCAGGAAAATTTACAGATCTAAGCTTTAACATGTTTGAAAAGTTTAGGGCATATTTATAACCGTTTAGAATTCAAATATCAATTACAAATCGGCAGAAGTTTTTAAATTTTGAAGTTGATTTTTGGACAGATCACAAATTATCCTGACAAATCCGAAGTTACATTAAAAAAAATCTAAAGTTAACATAAGCAATAGCCTGTTCGAAATTTGTTTAGAACGACACATTTGTAATAGTGCAAAATTCATATACGACTCAAAAGGTCAATGGGATATTTTTGTTTGGTCTTGAGAGGTTCCAAAAAGATAAAAATACCCTTTGCAATATATGAACAATATGTTGTTCAATGTTATTTTTTACTGTACGAAGGTATTTTGTGGTCAAATTTTTTTGCACATGTGCGGCTTAACTAGGTTCTCTATTTAAGTACTAAAGTGGATACCATATGAAAATAGGAAAAAATGTGTATGTTGTTTTCAGTTGCACAAATCACCACTCCATACTTGGGAGTATGGACAACTGGGTTTAGGCTATAATAAAGCTCTTTGGCTTATAGAACCTTATATGTATTGAAAGAGTTTCTATAAGGCTGCAAATGTAGAATTAACGTGCATCTAAAAAATCTATAAATAAAAAAAAAGCTGTTTGGATGTTGGAAAACCCTCTGATTTGGATCATCTCGACGTTTAGATAGATGAATATAAGAGAAGAAGATTTCGCGTCCCAAATATAGTGTATTATGCAACGTATCATGACTGTCCATTTTCAATATTTTAATGTGTTCATAGATCTACTTGATTTGAACTAGTTATTGGAGCTTAAAATTTAATAATTAGATATGAAAATGGATTCTAAGAATTTTTTACACCAAAATTACGATAAAATTGGAGGTGCGGCTCACTTTAATTGTTTAAGGTTGCAACCTTATACAATCATGTATATACCCTTGATGGCGAATTGTTGGATTAAAATTTACTTTTTGTTACTAGGGGTGGAAATGGGTTGGGTTGGATCCGGGTTGACCTGGACCTGGACCCGACCCAGACCTAACTCGGGTTCAGAGTTTGGACCCGGACCTGATGCATCGGGTCCAAAACTTAGACGTGGAATTGACCCGGTTTGGGTTTGAATCGAGAACCTAACAAAAAAAATTTGAAAAAATATTCAAAAATATATATTTCAAATACATGCACATCATATATACATAGATTCAAAATATTATATATACAAAAAGGGGAAAAGTTTACATATGGGAGAGGCTCTAAATAATCAAATCAAGGCACATCTTAACAATTTATTAGGAGAGGTCGTTTCAATGTTGCAAAACCTTGAATTCGGTCATCTCAACCTCAAGATATATAGACATGAGAAAAAATAGATTTCAAGTCTTGAAAATAGTGCATCTTGTAATACATTATCTAGACCGTCAATTTTTAATATTTTCAAGTGTTAATAGATTTGTTCGATCTATACTATTTTTTAATATTTAAATTTTATAATTAGATATGAAAGTAAATTTTCAAATCATCACAAAGATTTTTAATACTGAACTTTGATTGGTTAGTGCCTCAGCCTTCAACAAACTATACCCTTCAAAAAATACATTATATATATCATATAGTTTGTGTGTGTTTAGGGTCTAGGTCGGATGGACCTAGATTTGGATTCGACCTACCGGGTCCAAAAATTGGACCCAGACAACGGTCGACCTGACCCGATTGCCACCCCTAGGTGCAACCCTTATGTCCTATAAAATCTTTATTTACGTATACTTTATCGGCTTCCAACGGTGAATGTTTGAGATAAAAATTACCCTGGTGAAAGTTCATAATATGCAACTATGTTTGGTTGATCTACACCATCCCTTATCAAAAAGGAGAAGTTGGTACCCCCGTGCACCATATACCATACATTAGTGATGTGCGGTGTACCATGTACCATACATCAGTGATGTTATTATGGATTTGTACCATATACCATACATTAGTGATGTGCGGTGTAGGATGTACCATACATCAGTGATGTTATTATGGAGGTGTACCATATTACCCATATCTTAGTGATATAGTATGATTTCCACAATTTGGAGCATTGCCATGCCTTAGATACAGGCCAAGAGGTAAGCCCCATTCGCAAAATCGAACCGGAACGATTAACCAGACATGGGCCTAGAAGCGGTCTAACCGGTAAATCGGATGATTCAACCGCTCTAATCAAGCAAGTCCCAAAGGGTCAAAAAAGTGTTAAAAATAAAAAAGATACAAAAAAAAACTTTTAAAATATGAAATGCATATAAAGAATGATTAAAACAAAACTCTTTCAAATGAAGTTGAAGATTAATAAAAGAAATTAATTTTAACAAATTGATTTGTGTTTAGGAGTATTTTTAAATTTTTTTGAAAAAGATGGAAAAATATAAAAGTGAGTATTAATGATCAAAACAATTTTTAATTTTTACTATAATGTATTAC